CACCGCCTAGTTACTCAGCATGCATGATAGGCTCAGGATTTGGCCCTTAGCATCTAGAGATGGGCCCAGAAGCAAAGCAGGACTGGGAATTTGAATACCTCCAAAGTTGGAGGGTGATCAGACCCAGGGATCTGGTTTGGGCCCATTTCTGTTAATAAAGCCAAAGGAACTAATCTACAGTAAAGATACACTCGTCAGGCAGCAATGTTCCTAAACAGGCTGATTGTCAGCCTTTGCTATGTGGTACGAGCAGCTCCTTACACTGGCAGTAAGAATCTCGTAATAAAATAATGGTAATAAACTGCCAAAGAAGCAAAGTGTAATGCACTTGTAAAGTTGCTTTTTTCTTTAACCCAGCATATTGCGACTATTGAGATTTGTGTGTGTATAGGGTTCCATTCAGATTTGAGATCCTGATAGACAGCACTGAATGAGCTGCAGTTTGTTAGGCCCAAACAGTATGCTAATAAGAGAGAGGCATCTTCAGACCCCTGCATTTGGTCTGTTTAAATCAGCACCACCCGGTCTTATTCTGAAGGAGTTGTTTGCATTTAGGCCCCAGTTCAGTAAGGTAGTTAAACACATGTCCAGCTTTAAACGTGTAAGTAACCCTATTGAAGTCAATGGGACAGTTCCCAAGCTTAAAGTTAGCCACGTGCTTAAGTACTTTGCAGAATTGGGACCTTGATTCTTCTTCTTTTAGGCTACTGTAACAGCTGGAGGTCACCCCCATACATATCTGCACCCTTCCTGCTGTTGTTAGGGTGTCATATATAGCCACATACCAGTGAGCGGCAGAGGTGGCATTTCAATGGCTTCTTGCGTCAAGATGAGCAATGGAAATGACACCACAGATGACATTATAATGGCTGTAGAAACATACCATTCATTCAAAAGGCTTTAGGTGCAGCCAGGGCATTGCATAAAAGCCTCTGTGGGGGAGTCTCCAGGTAAATTTTTAACAGCACTGCTGTTGTGACATTTGAATGCTGTCAAATCCATCCACATTGTCAGGGAAGAAATTGTAAGGAGAATCACTCAGGAGTCAGAGGGAAAAAGGCCATAAATCTTGGACATGTGTTGGAGGAACCAGGCAATCTATGTAAGCCCCGCCAGGCTTCCAAATACTGGTACTGTGTGGCAGAGAAAGAGCTTCCGAGGGCAGCGTTAGTGAAGCTGGGGGAATTTGGCTGTGTTGGCTTGCTCTACAGATGGGTCCAGGTGGCCAAATTCCAATTAGGCAAAAACAAAACCATATATGGAGCTGATTGTTCCCTGCCTTTGCTCATCTTAGTGTTATTTGAGTGTAAAGTACTAACAAATCAGAATGGGAGCATTCCACACCCACTTTGCACAGCTGTAATCAATGATACAAGGTGCAAAACAAGGAAAAATCAGGCCCAGGTTTACTCTGAACCACCAAATTTTTGTCTTTGTGGAGTTGGGCAACTTAAAGGCCCTGGTTTTGGTCCATCTCTGGTTTGCGCAGATCTGGTCTTAACCTATTGCAGATTCAGCCCCTTGGCCTTTACTCCACTCGAGTGTCGCTTTTAGTGTAAGGTTCAACCACACCCGAAAGATCAAAGTGAAATTCCATTGAAAATGCCACCCTCGTCAGTTGAAACCACAGTTCAGTGTGGTTTCTGCATGGAGCTATAATGGGGGGATCCCCGGACTCCGAACTCGAGGGAGCTGGGCTGATGCTAGACTTGGGTGTTGGGCCCTTGCCAAAAATTTTGTAATCCTGGCAGCTGAGGTTTTGTAGCAAAAGCTGTAACATGGGCAAGTCTCTCCTGGTTCAGGGATGTCCAACTCAAAGCTTTAGGCAAGGGTGGGGAAGTGTGGGCTGTGTTTCACAAGGTGTCATGATTTCCACCATTAAAGTCCCCTAGACACCTATATTTCCACTAGTGAGCATGTGGCCTGAGAATCCTGAAAAGGTAGGCACCTTCCTCAGGTCTGGACTTAGGTGCCTAAGTCCCCAAGGGTGTGGCTAGCTTAGGCAGCTCTCTGCTGATTCCCCCCTGCCTTAACTCTCTGACAGATAGGCTAGTTGTGGTGGGCAGTGCAGCCAAGTCACTGACTCACCGCTCTCCAATTATCAAACAGTGTGTATGGTGCTGGCCACCCCACCCCAGCATTGTTTTGGACATCAGGAAGGACTACATTGTGGCTGCTCGTGTCCACGTGCACAATGGCAGAGGGAAAGTGCAGGGGAGTCGTTTCCCAATCCTTTGCAAACCCATGAGGTGTAGCCAACTCTTGTGTTATTTCTGGTTTTACTGAAAGCCCCAGCTCCTGGAGTCATGCTATGTTGGATGAATCATAGCTACTTTTTTTTTTAATTGAAAGTTTCTACCCATTGTGGTTGTGGAGAAAAAGTTAAAAACATTAATCCGCAAAGGCTTTTGAACCAGGAGGTAAATATAATGACCCAAATTTATTATTTTTAAGTCAGTCTCGTGATTTTTTTAGAGATTGACTCATGGTTTTGGAATGCTTGGGTCTGGCAATATTCCGCTTGCAAGGGGCAGCTAGTTCTTGCACTATCTGAGCACTGGGGATGGCAGGCAAGGCAGCGTGAGGTAATCCGTGCCCCAGAGGGGACATGGCTGAGGGGCAAGAAGCATGGCTAGTGGCCTGGCCATCCCTTTCTGCAACTGTACACACCTGTGCTGTCAGCGCAGGAGCAGGGGCATGCTTTGTGCCCTTTGAGAGGATGTAGCAGCTCCTGTATGTTCTCCCCAGGGTCACTGGAGCTGTTCCACCTGCCACCACATAGGCGCTGACTCCGTGGGTGCTCCAGGGTGCACGGGGAAGAATTAGTGGGTGCTCTGCACCCACTGGCAGCCAAGCTCCCCTCCCCACCCCGCCCCACCTCCTCTGCCTACCTCCCAGTGTTTCCCGCCCGGCTGCCACCAAACAGCTGTTTGGCACTGTTAGCACGCTCTGGGAAGGGGGAGGAGCGGGAACGTGGCGTGCTCGGGAGGAGGCGGGGAAGAGGTGGGGGTGGGGATTTGGGGAAGGAATTGAAATATTGGCAGGGAGGGGCGGAGTTGGGGCGGGGACTTTGGGGAAGGAGTTGGAATGAGGGCAGGGAAGGGGTGGGAAGAAGTGGGACAGGGGCGGGACCTCATGGAAGGGGTGGAGTGGGGGTGGGACCAGGGGCAGAGGGGGGGTCGAGCACACACGTGAAAGAGGGGAAGTCGGCGCCTATGCAGTCCCTCCCTCTGCCACTAACCCTGTCCCCAAACCTCATTCTAGCCATAAAGTCATATTGCCTGGAGCCACTCAGAGGGATAGAGAGCAATGGGGATCCACCAGTGACAGGCAACCCAGTCCCTGACCTGGATTGTCTCCGATCCCTCTGTGACCCAGCCTGTCCTCCAGTTCATTGCGTGCTCCTTCAGCACTGCTTCACTGCCAGCCGCCCCCTCCTCCCCACTCAGTATCCCTGAGCCAAGAAGTTCCAGTGCTGATTCCTCTCCTTGCAGGGCTTTTTGCCATGTTGTGGTTAGGCAGCCACCCCAGCCAGGCAGCATGTGGGGGTTGATGAGAAGTAGCTGAGTTGTGTAAGACTCTTAAACTACGTGGATGGATTTCCCACACACTCAGTTTAAAGCAGCAAGTCTCTCTGGCCTATGGGACAGCAAAACAGAGAGGATCTATAAAGATCATAGAGGATAACAAGCTTTGCAGACAGAGTGCAAGGGAAGTGAATTTTTTGTAAAAGTATTTTTCAATCTAACTATTGTCAGCTGCTTGTTCTCTCTGGACGCAGACGAAGGAGGATGCTAGAAAATTCCTTGCCCAGGGCTCCAGTATCCCCTTGGGCTGTCATAGGACCATCAGGAACCCTTAAGAATTAAAATTTTCACTCTCTCTGCTCTGATCTAATTTTGTCATTCCAGTATCCTGCGGCCTATCTGTGCCACTGTAGCCTTGGGCCCGATCCAGCTTCTGACACCCGTACTGACAGTGAGCAGCACCTTACTCCACAGATAGTCCCATTGAAGTCAATGGGCCATTCATGGAGTGATGTACTATTAAACATGATTAGGGGTATCAGAATCCAGCCCATTAAAATCAGTGTAAACTTTCTCTTGACTTCAGTAGGAGCAGGATTGGGCCCTGAGTTTACAGCCCTCAATCTCAGCAAAGTTTGCTCATATGAAAATGCTATTCAGGGTCACTCTATTTAAAAACAATCCTGACTACCCTTTCATTTTAAAGAAAAAGAGAAAAAATTGCAATTGGTTGCCAGCTGTCTTCAGGTCTGAATGATTCAGTACATTCCACAATGGCAAACCCCAGGGTTCAACAATGCCTAACCTGGGGTTACAAATGAGTATAGACACTCAAGCCCTAAATTAACAAACCTTGGGTCTGGTAACTTGAGTTCTGCTAACCCCGGGCTTACATTGTAGTGTAAACATACCCTCAGGGACAAATGCTGTGAGCTGCAGGAGGGATGTTAGAGGTCTCAAAGTCCATGGAACTGACATCCCAATCATGCAGAGGCTGGACAGGGAACTCTGCTCTCCTGAGTACCATGGGGCTCTCTCCACATTATTACCACAGGGGATTGCATAGTAGGTTCAGGAATAAGGCTCTGGCAAGTGAATGTAGGGAATGCAGAGGCCTTAGACACTTGTGGAGACCTGAAGCTGTAGTGGTGATCTCCAAGCGACTCTGCTGGTGCCCTGCAGTATGGGCAGAAGGATTCTCTTCCCTCAGCTCCTATGAAGCCCTGTAGAACAAAGCTCTCTTTCTTGAGCCTATGCAGTGGTCAGGATTTGGCCCCCAGAGAGCAGATCTAATGAGTAAGAAGGTGCCACTATTACAGCCATTTTCTCAATTGTAACTACTCACTAATATTTACTATTTACTATCCAATGGTAAGGCATAGAACCCTCAATGGGTTGTTTTGTTCAGAGGGTATATCTCAGTGAGAAGTATTTTATTTTGTTGCCACGCTTTGACATGAATTTTCTTTTCAGCTTCAGCCAGAGCAATTAGACTGTGGAGCAGCCCATCTCCAACACCCTTTGGCCATCCTGCAACCCATAAAGGCAACACCAGTGTTCAAATACCAGGGCCTCACCTCGGTGGCCGTTTCCAGTGTCAATAATTACACCGTTGTGTTTCTGGGCACAGCAAATGGAAGACTCCTGAAGGTAAAATTAGCATGTTACTAGAGAGATAAGAATGAAGCACTGAAGGGAGTTGATGGTTCAGGGATGGGTGGTGGGGTTTGGAGCCTTTCACCTCTCGGACCATTGGTTTGTATAGTACTCAGGATGGCAGTAACTGAAAGCTGTTGCTGTACCACCTCACAGTGTGTAGTTCTGCAGGCCTCCCGAAAGAAGCAGGGGTGGGTTGGCTCATTTCTTGGATGGGTGACTACCAGGTTGCTCCTAGATGCAACAGGAAGTGGTTTTAGTGACTCACCCCACATAATAGTATGGGGCAGTGTGCTACTGGAAGTGTCTTCTTGCAGATGAGGCATAAAACAGAGTTTTTGACCTCTTGTGGTCATTAAATATCTCATGACATTTTTCATAAGAATAGGGTTGTTACTACTTGTGTCCTGGTTAAATGCCAACTTGAAGTTGCACGCTGCCTACCTAAATTCCCCTGGCAGTTTCAGCTGGATACATTGCATTTGCTTCCCATCCTACAAATGTTATGTCACATCACTGTGCGCTGTTAACTAGCTGATATATTCCACCCCAGAGCTGGCTGCAGGGAAATTGGGTAATGTGGGCAAATGGTGATCCCTGGGTGAAAGGCACTAGAAAAGTGTTGTTATTGTTGATCATCTCAGAACTGTTTGGTGGCCTGTGTGAAATAAGTTGTCAGTCCCAGTCCAGTTTGCAGTAGAGAGGTGTCCATCTCGCACAAACCACCATCACATGGCACCTTTGTTGGCAGCCTCAGCTGAGAGAGAGGACTATTGGACCCTGACAAGTGGCCCTTCCCATGCAGGGCTGAGGCACGTTAACACGGCAATGTGAAGGAAGTGTGCACTGGTGCTGCCCACGCTGTAACTGCACTGAGAATAAAGAGTTCAGTCATTCGGACTTTCAGTACAGCCCATTTATCCATTACTGTATTCACAGTAATAGAAAAAAAATATCATTTGACAAGCTCGCTCTGAGCACAGGCTTTCATTCTGCAATAAAGAAGTAACTGGATGTTACTTTAATCTATACAATGATATACATTGCCTGGTAATTGGTATCTGTTAATCAGTATTTAAGGCTACAATGTGATTGTGTTGTTTTTACCGTAATATACTGTAGAAACAAAAGACTGCAGTTGAAATGCTATTTTACATCATTTTTTTATTAGCAGTGTCCTAATAAATTCTTCCCTTGATTTGATGGTTTTTAAAAGCTCCTTATAGACTGAAGAATCACTTAGTGATCATTCCCCAATGCTAAATTCTGAAGCAGGTGTGAATCCATGCATATAATATTGTGTCTCTGTTGAAACAATGCACTGAAGGCAATGTAGGGCAATGCACTAGCCTCAGTCAAGAGCCAAGGTGCAGGGCCAAGGTTTCAATAACCTCAATGCTTAGAGTTTGCCAAAGGAAGGTTTACGTTCCAGCCAATCACAGCAGTTCACTAAAGTCCCTGCCTCAGTAAGCCCATAGAGTAGAAAAAGACCATCTAGGAGAGACATGGCTGGAATCTGCTTTATCTCAGCCCGGAGCTAATCATACATAATTTGGAATATTGGATCAAAATACTTGGAGAAGAGAAAATGAATCCAATTTCTCTCATTGCTTCCAAGTGCTCCTGGCAGAAAAGTGGGAAAGATCTCAGAGAAGCTCTCTGCTTTCATTTTTGCCTAGAGGGGGAGGTAATCCAACAGGGTGGTAGGCAATTGACGTCATAGCCAGGTGCACAGGGCCAAGGGTGAAAACACATCCCACATGCAGCTCCCGTTCACACAGTATTAACAGTTCTGCTTCCATTATCGTATCATAGAAAGCAGCCTTATCTGTTGAACGTCCATTAGAGAGAGGCTCCTGACTACCCTTGACTGGGATAATTTGCTCAGATAGCTATAATTTAATTCTGCAACACAGCTGCGTAACCAGAAGCCTTTGTACCTTCAGGGCTCTTTGTTACTTGGCATGGCATACAGAATATTTTGTGTAGGTTATAATTCAGATCTTTGCTGTCCAAGAAAAGACGGCAGGAGGGCAGAAGTAGTGTTTGACCAGCTCCCCCAGAAGCAGTGATGGCTGCCAGTCACATGGGGAATCAAACATACTGCAGGATCGGCTGGCATATCATAGGGACCATTATCTGTGCCATAATCAAGAGAGTTGTTAATGGAAAAATAATGCTTTCAAAGCTGCTAAGCTTACAGTGTAGTGTAAAAGCATGGCAGAGCCTAGCACCCTCCCTGGGATACAGGGATTTTCTGCGAAGTCATCCTGATGTCAGGTGCTGGAACCCAGTACACAGATGCAGAAGTATTTTTGCTGAATTACTCAGAAGTTAGACCAGGTTAGGTCTAGTCAGCTCCAGTCCAAAAGCATAAGATCTCCCCATGGCTGTATCTACACTATCCTTTTCCCTAAAAATTTCCCTCTGTTGCTAACACCAGCATAGCTGCAATAGGGGAAGCTCTAGACTAGGTAGCTAGACTGCTGTCCATCAGCATTATTACCACCATGTCACCCAGCCCTGCTCTGAGGGTTACACAATGGTAACACTGTTGGCAGCCTTGTCTGTACTGGGTCTCCTGCCAATGCTTTCATTGGTGGAGCTACACCAGTGCATAGCATTGGTGGGAATTTTTTAAGGGCAAAGAGGCTAGTGTAGCAAGGCCTGTGAGGCATCAGGCCCCACAGAGAGAGATATCTTGTGAAGAAAAACACTAGGAACAGCCAAGCTTGTAGGGACAGGGGGGAAATTAGCTGGAACAGAGGAAGGATGGTGTTGTGATTAAGGCACCGAATTGGGAGTCAGGAGATCTAGGTTAAGTTCCTATCTGTAGACTTCTAGTGTGACTTCAGGAAGTCATTAATCTTTCTCGACCCCATGTGTAAAATGGAGATGATAATATTTCTTCTCTTCCATGTTTCTTATCTATTTAGTTAGTAGCTTGCAATGTATATGTACGTCTAGCATAATGGGGCTTCAACCTGAGTTGGGCCTCTGAATGCTGCTGCCATACAAATAACACTTTTCTGAGCATAACTGTTTCAATAAAGATTTGGAAATAAAATAATTTTCCAATATGATGATGATGATTGATAGTGATAACAATGAATTTGCCTGTATATGTCTGAAGACCTAATTTTGATTTTATTTATGCTGGTTTAAATCAGGAGTAACTCCATTGAGATGATCTGAATTAGACTGACATCACATCAGTGTGAGATCAGAATTAGGTCCTGTAAGTCATTGCGGTGGCAGGATCTTCACCCTTTCATGGCAGAAAAAGGGAGTTCCATGCAGCTTGCTAAGTAGGAGTCTTTGTCTTGAGATATTAAAAATGGAGATCATGTCAAAAGATCCCATAGCATTTCCCATCAGAGACGGGGTTTGCCCTTCAGCAACCAGTATTTCCCTTCCCCTCACAAGTGTTCTGTGTTGCAGGCAGAGTTGCTTCCCTCCACCCCAGTGGTGGCTGCATTTCAGTGGTGCTGTGTTTGTGCAGTTTATTAAGCACTTTGGGCTTAAAGCTGATGTGAAAATATAAGGCATTATTAGTTACCATTTTACTTCTGAGTTTATAAAAAGAGTGAGAAAAACATCTCCCCCATAACAATGTTTGATCTCAACAAATGGTTCTTTCTCACTATATAGATTAATCTGAACAGTGCCACGAAGATTATTAGCAGGAAGTCAGTTTCAGTGGCTTATGGGGAATCCGTTCATCCCATCATGCAGTTTGATCCTTCTGATTCCAGCTACCTCTATCTCATGACTTCCTATCAGGTAGGACTTCTGTTCTCCATACATTTGGCAAAGTGCGCTCATATGATATTTACAATCAGCATTGGCTTGAGGAGCAGAAATATTCTTTTAATACCAGTAATGCACAGACTTGTAAAGGTTAGGAATCACTCCAAAGTTTAGATCAAACCTTTTCAGAACCATCCATACCTTTTGGGTCTATGTAGCTGGGCTGGAAGTCACATAGGAACAAACTTCTTTGCAAGATTTCTGGTACCATTTCCTTCTGGTCAGGCTAGAAATATTGTGAGAATAGCCTTCTGTCTAAAGTTTTGGTACGGGCACTTCTGAACAGAACTTGGAAATGCAGAGGGACGTGAAAACTAGAGAGAGGTCCTAGCCTCAAAGGATCCAAATGTCACCAAATTTGGGGGTATTTGGATCTGGAGGTTTGCGTTGACCCGTTACTGAGACCAGATCCAGCTGCAAAGTTTAGTTCTGGATCTGAACTTTCCCAAGTTTCAGGGGGGTTGGATGCATGATTCATGTCAGCTTCACTCTTAGTGAAAATGAATAAAAAGTTTCCCAAACTTTTCCAAACCTCATAATGAGTATTTGGAGTTTGGGGCCAGGGTTCAGGTTGATTCCTGTTATCTGAACTGGTTCACCCATCTCTATGCAACTAAAGGTGAAAGCTACAGTGAAACATGCCTTAAGCAATAACCTACAGGGCTGGCAAAAATAAGAAGATGTTGGTCTTTATCTGAAAGCTGGATAACATTGTACTAGAAATTTTGGGGATACTTTTAAAGGGTCACTCAAGAAAATGGTTTGCCTGTTGGAGCTGGTCCTCAGGGCAGGTTTCACTGTACCTAAAAATTCACACACCTCATCTCATAGGAGGGCACTATCCAGCGTGGAAGGCTCTCTCTTTGGAGAGGCCTGAAAATTCCACAGCAGGAAGAAACAAATGGTCTCTCCTTGCCTTCTATGAAGTGAACAACTGAGGAGGAATAGAGTTCAGTTCTTGCTCCAAGCTGTGGTGGTCTGTCCTGAATTACATTTTAATTTGTTGAAACGGATGCCCAACCACTAATTTTATATGTTGTATTTATACTTTCCAGCTGTAATTCCCTGCAGACTGGCCATTATCATTTCACATAACTCTCCCAGGGTCTCTGTCTAGCTAATATCTCAGACCTTTTAAATGCCTCACAAACACTTTGGAGCACAAAAAGATACTTGCTGTGAACTTTATCCTGGGCTGACTAAAACCCCATGTGCAGTACTTCAGATCAGATAGCTTGGCCCTTTCCTTTAAATTAGACCAGATCAGTTCCTTTTCCCAATGGAATTTACATCTTGGGAATCTTGACAAGCATGTGTGGAAGCTGTGCACAGCATGTGTTTGACGATAAGGAGAGGAGAAACTGGCCCAGATGACTGGTTGTTTGAGATGCTGAGTACCTTTTGGGAACTGAGGGCTCTCAGCACCTTGCATTGTCAGACTCTAAATTATCAAGTTCCACGCAGTCTTCTTTTCCAAGTATTTAAAAATCTAGGAAAGAAAGCATACAAATGACTGCATTCTCCCCTTCCAAGTGGTTCTTACGGAGCAAGTCACCAGAGGTACTGCTGTCCTACTTGCTATTCCAGGAATCATATTTCCCTACATGTGAATGATTTTGTATTCCTAGGTAAATTCTGGTCACTTCATAAATAGACAAACATTGTTCACCCCCTTCTAGAAGGGGTCTGGCAAGTATGAAATCTTGAGATTCTCACACTTATCATGACCCAAGCAATGTGTGGTGAAATGGTGACAAAAACTGGTCCCATCTAAACCATCAAAGGGGTTTTATATTTTAGTAATGTTGCTGTCCCTCAGCTTGCAGTTATGCCGAAGATGCTGGCTAACAAGAAACAGAGACATATAGTCTTCTGTTTGCATCTAGTGCTCCCATTACTCACAGAACCATAAATTGGAGTAATGGAAAAGTCTAGGATTGTTCCCTCTTAGTACATTTCCTAATACATTATCTAGTCTATTATTCAAAGTGTTTCACCACATGTGTGTCTCATCAGTACCTCATTAGTGTCAGCTAGAGGTTTCCTTTCCGTTGTCAAGAAGTGCACACACACCATAGAGTTTGGGTTTTTTTGTGGCATCTGAAAACGTTTGGATACTTTGGGAATGATAGTGACCTTGGGTTTTGCTTGTTGCACAGATGACCCGTGTGAAGGTGGCTGCCTGTGACCAGTATACAACATGTACGGAGTGCCTGGCTGCAGCTGATGCTTATTGTGGATGGTGTACAATGGAGACCAGGTAGAACTTCTTGTATCTTCTCCTGGGTGATTGTCTTTGGACCCCTTCCTCAGAGTTTCAGCAGATTGATGGTTTGCTGCACAGCCATGCTAGCTTACAACCTTTGCCTGATCTTTCCCAGGTTTTACCAAATACAGGGCAATCCTTTTAAAGATGTTTCAACCAAGTCTCAAGCTGTGAGAGTGTACTTTTTTGCTTACACTTAATTGCATCTGCATTTTTATGACTACAGCTAATTGTGAATGCAAAGAAGATGTGTTAGTCATCTAATCAATCAATAAATAAATTTGTTAGTCTCTAAGGTGCCACAAGGACTCCTCCTTGTTTTTAATGATACAGACTAACACAGCTACCACTCTGAAACCAATCACTTGACTGTGAGTGCAAACGGCTAGTAAGAAAGCTTAGGCCCGTCATTGGCAGCTGCAGTTACTTGTGGGCACAATTCAATGCATACCCAGAAATCAGGCTGCAAAATTAGACTCTGTCTTCCCAAATCAGGTCCAGGATTTTTGACCAAACACACATGTACAGCTATTTCTCTCTTGTTCTGCACTCAGTCATTGCGGTCTAATCTCTCTCCCTCACATACACATATTTCCCATTGATGCTAACAGGAGTGGTGTGCTGATATCGTGACAACTGTACCCATTAACTATAGCAGTAGCACAATAGGCTGATATACAGAAGTTGGAGAAATGGGAGGCAGTCTCCAGATTTCTACGGGACCGTCTTCGTAATTGTCACAACAGTTTTATCAATATTTCGATAGGCATCCCCCATAAGTTGTGCCTCTGTTTGTTTCAGGTGTTCTCTGCAGCACGAGTGTATTAATTCCACTGAGCCAAATTTCTGGACGAGTGCGAGTGAGGGAGTGCAGCAGTGTCCTTCAATGACAATCATGCCATCGGAAATTAATCTTGACAATGAGAACAAGGTACATCTAATGTGGATACAGGTTAATAAAGTGCTGTAGGCCACAGGTCACCATCTGTTCTCGGTGCCCACAGATGTCATTGCTCTAGCTAGAATAATGGTTTCAAACATTTGGGGGGCAATAATACCAGTTTGCCAGACTCCCACCTCATATGTTCTAGCTGGTACCAGCTACTGTCCACTGCTTCCCATTCAGTGGTGAGACTGGTCATTGGAGCAGCCCAAGCCCCATTGTGTATTACAGAGCTGTGGCAAAATTTTCAAAAGCACAGAAGTCTCATTTTCAAAAGGAGCCTAAGTCTCATTGAAAATCAATAGGGCTTGGGCTCCAAAATGCCTTTTGAAAATGGGACTTAGTCTCCTAAGTCACTTGAATGCTTTTGAAAATTTTACCATTAAAAAAATAGGAAAAACAATTAAAAAAAAAAATTTTTTTTGTTCCCTTTCCTGGGGTTCTAAATTAACTCATCTGTTTTTCATGACATTTTTTATATTTTTTTTAACCAACATTTATATCAAAATCAACTATTTTTGAAATTCGTATCAAAATGGTTTCTTTACCAAAAACCAAGTTTCTGGTAAATGAAAAAAATTGCTAAACTTTTTGATAATGTCATAGGTTTTATGGAAAAAGTTTTGGTTTTGAAAAAAGGGAATTTTTCAACAACAAAAAATCTTTTTCATTTAAAAAACTTTGATCAGCTCCAGTGTGTTGGAATGAGCTACTGAGTGGGAAGCAGGCAGCAAAATGGACCAGTGCCCAGCACAGGTGGGGAGAGGGAACCGAGCGTACCAGTACCTAAAACCTCAAACACCACATCTGGTACTGCTTCTCAGTGGCTGGAAACAGCTGGGTTAGAGGGTCACTGACTGTGTACTTAGTTTTCATCACAGTGTTGAATCGGCAGCAAACTTGTATTTTAATTAAGTTTAGAGATCAGTATGAATCTCAGAGTTTGGCTGCATCTCCAAACTTCCCCAGAGCTCAGGGGAGATGTTCAGTTCAGGGTCTGGGTCTGGCAGAACTGGGACCCACAGTCCTATCCACAAAGCCACAGAAAACTCTCATTTGGCTCTTTTGAAGCAGAGGCTTGGGGTCAAATGATCTGCTGGCATAACCCTATTGACTGTGCCGTGGAGTCACAACTGCAGAGAACTTAGCCTTTGGGGTTTTATTTTAAGATCATGTACAAAAGAAAAGCCAGTACCTCAAAACCTTCAATTCCTGCAGCTGCTTAGGCAAAAAGTTTCACAACAAAAAATAAACCACCAAAAATGCATTTGAAGTTTCCTTTGGAGGAGTGCAGAGCTATATTTTCTCCACCAGTCACCACTAGCTCTTCAGCTGGAATGGCCCTTTTAATATACACTTCAGTAAGTTAAAGCAGCTACCCTGCCCCCTTTCCTTGAGCTCCTATGAGGCTCCTCTCTCCCAGGTGGGGTGGAGGGCATCAAGATCACATGGACTCCTTATTGGGGCAGAAGGGTCTTCTCACTATGGGCCTATAACACAGCTAGTCATCAGCCTGAAGGTTTGGCTACAGACTAGAATTTCTCCAAAGTTCAAGAATTTCAGATCCAGAGTTGGTTTGCCCCACTCTCCTTTTGTTGTTTCATGGGCATAATCCCACCCTGGTGGTATTTGAAGTTCCACAAGGAGCTGCTGCTGCAAAGGGAAGAGGTGTGCTCCAAGACAAGACGGGGATAGAACCAGTAAGGTGCTTAGGTTGGAGTGGGCTAGGTGGCACATTCCAGATGGAAGGGAGCAGTTCAGATTTGTGTAGTGGGGCTCTTACATTGGCTTTGTGTTTGGACGACCATCTGAATAAAGCACATGGCTAGTTCTGAGTGTCAAACTATAAACATACCCTATATATTTACTTACGGAAACAATGGAACTCTATAGTGACAAAGGTGTATTACTGTAGCAATTTCTTGTACACCATGTGACGCATATGACAAAATAAATATTGAAAAAATCAGCTGTCAGGGGACATTTTTGCTGAACTGGTTAGTCTATATGCTTCAATCACCTTGTCCAACTCTGTAAATCACTTTCTATGGCAATAATTGAACTTTTTGTCCAAATTTAAGGCCATGATCATCCAAATAAATGGGAACATCCCGAGCCTCAGTGGAATGGAGATGTCTTGTGATTATGGAAATAATATCTACACTGTCGCCAAAGTCCCTGGAAATGATGTAAACTCTTTTATTTATTGTAATTTTCTTCCAAGAGAGAAATATCCCGCATTCCCACCCAATCAAGGTATGTAATGGAAAATGGGCTCAACTTACATTCCAAAACTTCTTTTATGGAATTAATTTGCTTAATTGTTGTATTGATTCTGGGGTTAAAGGTCATTTTTTTGCAAATAATACTATTTATAGAAAGCACTGGAAAAAAGGAAAGCTGAGCAGCTTCTCTAGTATATGAAATGTCACATTATAATCACTGCTGGAAGGTCCTGAAATCTTTTTACCATCCTAACATGAGTTGTCAATCAGTATTTTCAAATCCATCTATTGTTACTGGTGGAATGGGAAAAACCAGTTCAGGTATGTAGCTTATTGGGTTTTGCTTATGTTGCCTAGATAAAATTTGGTTTTTAATTTTCTTTTAATGAGTACAGAAATCTACAAGTTTAAGCTCTTTATAAATAATAGCATTATTGGGATTGCTAATCATTACTATTTTACTTTCCTTTCAAAAATACATTTCAGAAAAAAAATCCAAAAGAAGAAGTGAAGTGTGGTCTGAGACAGCTCAGGAATGCTAATACCATCTGCATGCTGCTCTTTCCAAAATACTAAGACTGAAATCTTCAGACCTGCCCACTAACTTTGGATGCCTCCAAAATTGGATGCTCAGCATGAGACACTTGGGACCTGACATTCATAGACACTGCACATTTGCAGTCCCACTTGAAGCCAGGGCAGGTGGGCGCCCAATGCCTTTGGAAATCGGGCCGATTGTTTCATGCTGGGTACCCAAACAGTGAGGCATCCAGAATCTGTAGCCAATTTTGAAAATTTTGACCTAAACATTCTAGACTTCAGGGTGGGATTTTCACAAGTCTTCACCATTGGTCTAACTGCTCCACTGAAGTTGATGGGGGTTTAATCATTGATTTCAGTGGGAGCAGAGTTAGGCCAACACTCTGAGCACTTTTGAAAATCCCACTCATATTAGGCAGTTTTAAAAGATGTCATTGATGTTCTCCCCAGCTGTAGGAAGAATGGTAGTGATTGAACTGCTTTGTATTGTTGTTTATGGTAATGTCCAAGCCAATTTCTGGAAGCCTATTTTGATTTTTTTATGCACTTCTTGGAAGAGGCTTTGACTCTCATCCCAGGGGTGTTTATCATAAGATTTCAAAAAATTAAGCAATTAAGCAAACAGTAGGAGAAATGTAGTTTACAAATGTTGGTAGCCAAAAATGGGACTTTTCACCATTCTCTGTTGGTTTGTCCACACTGAGAAAATTAATGAGGTTTTAAAACATATTGACTAATCGGATTTAATTAACGTATTTAAAAATACCACTTAGGACCTAGTGTAGACAGAGATACTAATTTAACTTTGGGGGCAAGGGGTTTAAAGTTAGGGGGGCTAAATGAGGAGGAACATATGAACTCTGTGAGGCAACCCAGAGGAAACCCCAGAGAAAAAATTTCAGCAGCTGGGATATTATTTACTCAGAAGTTTGTCTTGCCCTCTAAGATTGAGCAAAAAATAGAAACTCTCTTGTGATCCAATATTCTTTGGCTTGCTTGTTTCAGACCATGTGATTGTTCAAACTGCAATACGGGTCAACGGCAAAAATATTGTCTGGGCCAATTTCACCATCTATGATTGCAAAAGAACTGGAAATATTTACCCCAAAACAGCGTAAGTGATCTCACCTTCCATAAATTACAGCAACCAAAGCAGCTTGGCGGGAGGTCAGAGTTGGGGGAGAAGGCAGGGTGTTGACAAATAGTAGCTTGCTCTGCAGTGTCTCACTTTAGAACCTGGTGCTTGAAACTCCCAAATCTTTGTGCCAGGGGAACAGATGTAAATTGAGCAATTCAAAATGGTGTATGTGCATCATCTGAGGGTGCTTGCTTGTGGGGTTAACTGAGCAGGAAAAGCCCTCCCTGCCAGCGGGACCGTTTGAGTCCTGGGCAGGATTTGGCAGGATTGAGGATGATGATTGCCAGGGATTTATACAGGAAGGTCCTAGCAGCCTCTCAAGCCATCTGGACATTTTGATGGAGCCTGGCTTATCTTTTTCTTTAAAAAAAAAAACATGAACAATATTTTTATTTGAAAGTTTTTTGTGTTAACCCTTCGGGTGCTGGCTAATCTCCAACTCTTTAGCACTTGCATGCTAATCTGTGTGTGCATCGAATGTATCTAGTCAGTCTACTGCATTTAATCTAATCTATAGTATTTATAGAGAATCCATCACCATAGTATCAGGGATGTTGGAAGCATCGTACCTTGGGGACTGGACAGTTTCCAAGGGTTTAGTGGAGGTATCTAAAGGCTGCTGTGCCAAGGAGAGGGAGGGTTTCTGGCTGCAGGGAAGTGAGGACAGATCTGTACTCATGCCTTCAGATTCCCAAATGGCCCTGTCATCACCCCACCCCCACATCCCCCAGAAACAAGCCCATCATCTCGTGGCTGACCTCATGACATATTCCACTGCCAGTTTCTGACCACTTCCTCAAGCTAAAAGCCAGCAGGGTATGAGGGGGAATCACAGCAGGAGGTGAGCCTGGGGTGCAAACAAACTGGCCTGGAGCCCAGAGCAGCTCTGTGCAGTGATATGGACCAGCAGTATGTGGCTGTGGGCTGCTGGATGGGGCAGGGGTACAGTGGTTCTGGGAGAGTCCAGAAGAGGACTAAGAAAGCCGGAGGAACCTCATTGGAGAGAGAGGAGGGAGTTAGGAGTAGGGAGCCAGACAGCTGTAAGGCTAAAGGGAGAAGAGGGGATTGAAGAGAAGCCAGGTATACTTGGCTCCCAACTCTCTGCTGAAAGCCTTCAGGCTGGGTACATTTGTCTTCTGATTCTAAGGCCTGGTCTACACTACGGGATTAATTCGGATTTAGCAGCGTTAATCCGAATTAACCCTTCACCCGTCCACACTACAGAGTCAGTTAATTCGAATTAAAGGGCCCTTTAAATCGATTTCTGTACTCCACCTCGACGAACGGAGTAGAGCCTAAATCGATTTTGTTAATTCGAATTAGGGTTAGTGTGGCCGCACACCACCGAATTACTGTGTTTAAGTTAATGGGGTAGTGTGGCCGCACACCACCGAATTAATGTGGTTAAAAACCGAATTAAGGTGCTTAGTGTGGCCGCGCACAATCGAATTTATACAACCTGTTTCCCAAATTCGAATTATCTAAATTCAGATTAATCCTGTAGTGTAGACATACCCTAAGGGTTAAACAACAGAAACAGTCAAACAAATAATCCATGCATTTGACACGCTGAGTCCCATCCCGTACATTTCCAGAACTGCTTGGGAATAGCCATGTATCTCTCATTGGATAATGAGATTGTGATGCTGGTTTCAACCCATGGAACTTTATGCACATTTACAGGATATAATGATGTGACCCAATGACCCAGTCAGTGCAGGATTCCACAGCCTCTACACAAAGCCATTGGAAAAGCCACCAGAAGAGTTAGCATCACCTGATTTAATGGGAAAATTTACAGGGTCTAAAAGACATATTTTTAAAAATGGGAGAGGGGCTCAAATACTCACTGGCTGCCTAAAGTCACTCTGTGGTCTAGAAGCTTTGACTGTGTGAGCCAGGGTGAACTTGTTAATGGAACTGACACCTTTATCTGCTTGTGGAGAGGTCATTCCCCACAAAGGGCCAGCCTGATGCAGAATCAGGGGAACAGCCTCAAGAGCTTTTGGGCTTCAGCATAGCCCTGACAATAAAAGGAGGGATAGAATGACCAGAGCCTTCTCTGAATGGATTTGTCCTAGGGACCATAAAATAGAGAACACAGAGTCTACAGGTATGTGAAGAACTATAACCTGATACTGACGTTGGGCTCTGCGGAGGGGGCTGAAATCTGCATGGCCTTTAAAAATTAAGTGCACCTGCTTTTTATGCATTTCAGATGTACCAGCTGCCTCTCGACCAAATGGAAGTGTTATTGGTGCACTAAGAAATACATGTGTGTCTCCAATTACTCTGATTGTGAGGACTCACTAAAGATGAATGTAAGGCACATTGGGCTTTGTTATTTCGTAGATTTTGTAAGTTGGCTGCATTATTGTTATTATATTCTGTCTTTTCCTGGAGGAATTTCCTGTGTTGACCAGATGCCATTGGTTTTAGAATACTTTACTGAATATATATGGGGTCAGCTATGGGACTGGGACTCAGGAGACTGAGGCTCTGTTCCTGGCTCTGTCACTGACTTGCTGTGTGGCCTTCAGAAAGTCTCTTCTTCACTCTGTGCGTCAGTTTCCCCAATGAAGATAATGTTCCTGCACTTTTTAAAGAGCGTTGAGATTTGGAAATAAAAAGCTGTGTGTTAGTGCACAGGAGTAATGGCTTTCTAGACACTAGCAAGCTCACAGGTTCTGAAAATGCTTCTGTCTGGATTGGTGATGGGATACAGAGCCTGTCACCATTTGAATCTCTCTCCAATTAGTAGCAAGAATACTTAGCATTTATGCAGCACTGATTAACACCCCTGTGAGCTAGGCAAGTAAGTATTCTTGCCCTCTCTTCACAGATGGGGAAACTGATGCTAAAGTTGGTGAAGTGACTTATCCAAGAGCATGCAGAGAGCTGGTAGCAGAGCCAGGGTTAGAACAGAGCAGTTGCTAGTTCCCATATGTGTGCTTGATCACATGGCATCTCCAGGTAGTGACTGAAAGTGGTTACAGTGAGAGGCTATTCAGTGAGCTGTGCAAAGTGGTTCTGTGGTCGCAGTCTTGCTTCTAGTAGATAAGTGTCAACATTACATAATCTGTTGGCCCCAACTAGCACCTATGTTAGCAGCTTCAGCAGAAGGCATAAAAAATTGTATTGAGATGGAGTCTAGTCTGCCCTCTCCATTCTTAAAGTGGTCCCTCTAGATTGAGGAGGAAGCATTGTGGGGGAAACTGACCTGTTCTACAGCTAAAAAGAGGACTTCAGTTTCCTGGGCGGTCAGTCCAACACCTTTCGTCAGTTTATCTCCGGTTTTCTTGCCGTTGACACAGCTGTGTGTGTCTGTGTATCTTGTAACAGAGTAAAGAATTGTTCATGTGTGGGATTCTTCCAATGTACATGTTCAGCTTTCCTGGTTATTTCAGAAGGCTTTGTCCCTTGGTTCTTTATTACCATTCAAACTGGAGCAATGCCTTGATTTCCACGCACCTTGGGATGCCTGGATTTAAGCAATAAAATAAATCTAGCAATACCTTACAATTCCTTTAGCTTTTACTAGGCTGTTGTGGTACATTAATGAAATGGCAGCTAACTTGCTAGAGCGCCACTGTTGAGTGCAGAAAATCGCCTTTATCCAAATTACAGCTCCTAATAACACAGAAACTTGGCATAGTCAAGCTTCTGAAATTTAAACTGAAGCTAATTTAAATAAAATTGGCCTTTAGCAATCAATTTATTGGACCTCGAAGCCAAGCTTTTACATTTTAAATTGAATATTTCTTTGGCGCTAGCACTCTGAGCCTCTTTCAAGCTCATTCAGACAGAGATTCCCCTTGCTTGTTACCTTTATACAAGGACCTCGGCCATATATTAGACTTTCCATTCTCTCTTCCAGACTTGACCTCAGAGATCTGATTGATTTCCATTCATGCCCCTTCATACCCTGCCTCCCTTTGTGGAAATCTCTGGAACTCATGTAATTCATTAAAGAAGGAAGGCAGATATGACTGATACATTGCAACTTTTTATCCTATACAGTTCTTTCCATATAAAAACAATATGAAAGGCTTCATGCATCTGTTGAGTCACAGCCAGTCACATCGTTCTTTGAGAATAATATTCATTGCAGATTTAACCTTCTTCTCTGCTTGTGACTCATCTGTGAACAGATTTTCTAAATCTCTTAGCATTTTGTAATTGTTAAATGAACAGTATAAATCTGTAGCCCTTGCTTTGTTCATGAATCATTCACTTTGGGCCAGATTCTTAAAAGTTCTCAGCACCAAACATGCTGAGCTCTTTTGAAAATCTGACCCTTTAACTCTTTGCTATTCTGTGTGTGGGACTAGTCACTAAATCACATGATGTTATTAATGCTGTTTGAATGAGCAGAGTCCTGAAAATCTGCAGATATTCACTTTATATCCCCGGACCATTTTTGTAGATCGTAGATTGGATGCAGATACAAATTTTGTATCCATGCAGGGCTCTATGAAGCTTTCTAAAAGGGAAAATAAATAAATGCAAACAGCAACTTAGGCCATGTCTACACTACCACTTATGTCGGCAAAATTTATGTCGCTCAGGGATGTGAAAAGAACATACCCCTGATAGATATAAGTTTCTCCGGCATAAGTGGTAGTGTGCACAGCGCTAAGTTGGCAGGAGAGCTTCTCTCGGTGACATAGTTACTGCCGCTTACTGGGGGTGGTTTAATTATGTCAACGGGAGAGCACTCTCCCATCAGCATAGAGCGGCTACATGAGAGATCTTACAGCGGCACAGCTGCATCAGTACAGCTGTGCCACTGGAAGGTCTCTAGTGTAGACCTAAGTTCCCTGTAAGCTGCGCAGCAGCCTATTTAGCGCCGCGCAGGTGCTCAGGGAATCCTCCTGGGGACCTACCGCGGTGTGGGGAGCTCCTGGCCCAGCCCCAACCTAGCCTGGTCCCCTACCTGCCACGGCCGGGGCGGCCCAGACCTGCCGCGGCTGGGGAGCTTCTCCTGCAGTCCGGACCTGCCACGGCCCAGATGCCTCAGCCGCAGCTGGGGCGCTGCAGCTGGGGCACTGCGGCCCGGCCCCAGCCAGGGCAGCGGAACCCAGCCCAGCCCCATCCGCGGCCAGGGCGGCCCAGCCTGGACCCAGTCGTGGCTGGGACAGCCCGGCCTCGTGCCCCACCTTCCCCCCCGGCCCAAACCCAGCCCTGGCCTGGACCTACCGGGACCAGGGAGGGGTGCCTATCCTGCGGCCCCAGCCCTGGAGCTGCTGCAGCAGGGAGAGGCGCATCTCCCCACCAGTCCAGGTGCTGCTGCAGGGAGAGAGATCTGGGGGGAGTCCCTGAGCCCCTCATCCCTGGTCCCACCCCAAAGCCTGGACCCCCAGCCGGAGCCCTCACACCCCTGCATCCCAACCCTCAGTCCCAGCCCTGAGCCCCCTCCCACACTCCGAGCCCCTCGGCCCCACCCCTACCACATGAATTTTGTTACGTGCACCAATATGAAAGTCATGTGTCACACATCACCTCTATATTGGTGCACATAACAAAATTCATTCCGCACATAGGTGGGAAAAATTAGAGGGAACACTGGTGTAGACATAGCTTTATTCTTGCTCCTGTACCACTAGGTAAGTGTATCATGTCCCCCTTTAGTGGCTGGTCTACACAGATGATAAGAGTCTTCTACTGCTACCAGTAGGGCCAGTGCTGAAGGCGCTGTGTTCTTTTCCTACTGGTGATCAATGGTGAAATTCATTACACTCATGAATAGCCTTCTTTCCATGTGAATGCAGGTATTTGAATAAACAGTGATCCCCCCAAATATGTATATGAACAAAAACCTCTCAGTCAAGGGTATTCAAGCAGCTGGCACAATTGGGCTCTTGATATATGCATCAAATGAATTCAGCTCCCCAAGCCAGCTGATACTCCACTTTTCTTTAAAAAAAAAATAATAAGGATCTTTTTTCAACAATAACTAGGTTGAATTTAAAATTAGACAGGCCAAAACACCAGCCAATACACTCCAGGGAACAATCCTGAGCCTGTCCCTCATTCACAGGCAAATTCTCTTCTGTGGGCCACATTCCGCTCCCAGTGTAAATCCAGAGTCATTCTGTTGGCTTCAGTGGACTTACTTCTCCAGATTCACACTGCCTTGCTGGGAATGAGAGCAGAATCCAGCCCTGTATCTCCACAAAGCCTGAATTGTACAGCCCTGAATGCACAGGGGAGGGAAACTCAAAGCCCCAATCCCAACCTCCCCCCCACCCTCCGTTTCCTCCAGGGAAAAAAACATTCACAGAGCATGTTACACCTACTGCCTGATCGTTTTGATTTTGCTTCTCTAGGGAAAGTATAGCAGTCTCAGTGACCCCTTGACCACAGCCTCACCTCACAGCTTTTCAGCCTCTAGAATCCTTGGACTATCAAAGGAACAAACTGCCTGAACCACTGAGGATTAAAGTAATCAGATGAGCTCAATGCTGCCAAAGGCAATCACCTCCAGAAGGCTCAGTGAGACAGATCCTGAGGTCCTTACACAGGCAAAACTCCCTCTGGAGTCAATGGGAGATTTGCCTCAGTAGGGACAGAATAAAAGCTGGGTAAGAACCCTGAGGATTTGTCTCCAGATTTGGATGCATCTGAGAATCACTGAGTCTCTTGAGTTTACAGCTGTTACTTACTGAAAAATTTAGAGCAAGTCTTTGAATGATGCTTCAGGGATATCAATTTAGTTTTAATTAAGGGACAAATCATCAAAAAAAAGTGTGTGCCAATGTGTACCCACATTTGAGTGCACAATTGCACATGAATATCAGGCTATTGCATGCACATAAATGCCCTTTTGCACACACAGTTACCTGATTTGTGTGCCTAGTTGCAGTAATTGTGTGTGCAAATAAAGACATACACTGTGCTTGCAAGCCATGCCCTCTTTTTTTCAATTATATGGGCCCTTTTCATTGGCTCACAATGCTGATTAATCATGGAGAATGTAAGAAGCTTTGCCCAGTGGTGAGAGCGAGGGATTAGGAATCAGACCTCCTGGGATCTGTACCTGCCCCCAACATTGGTTTGCTGTGTGACCTTGGGCAAGTCACTTACTTTTTTCCTTTGTGATTCAGTTTCCCCACCTGGAAAATGAAAATAATAATAGTACCTACCAATGAGACTTATTTCCTTTTTGTAAAACTCCTTGACATCCTCAGATGGTAGGTGCTGTATAAATGCATAACAATAATTTAAAAGATTTATGAAGGACTAAGCCCCAAAGGTAAAATTGTCAGAAGCACCTAAATCTGATTTTCAAAAATGACTTAGGCACTTAGAGCCAGATATT